TAAAAAATAAATAAATAAGAATTAATAATAAATTCATAATTACCAATAGCAGGGCTGCTGTCACTCTTAATCCATTTGTATTGACTGATACCAAATCCATCATGACTGCCAGTTCCATTCAGTGTCACTGTGTCCTGTGGTAGTGTTAGTATCATATCAGGACCAGCATCAGCCACTGGCAATACATCTTCACCTATAGCAAAAATACTCTTATTAATACACAAAGGACAAAAGACAAATACAAAAAGAATAAGAGAGAATAAGATACCAGTAGATAATATAATTATCAATGTATTACTATTGTTGTAGTCAATATAGTGCTATGTGTGGTATACACATACTCACATACCTTTATGATAGTAGACACTGATGTTAGTATAGTTAGTCACGTTACGATAATCAATAACAACCAGCTGGAACAAATATTCTGTGGGGGACACTCCCTCTACATGAAGACCACTCACTCGTAAAACTGGTTTGTCCAACCCGTCAAACCGGATATCATTAGGTCCTTCTAATTGACTCCAATGGTATTGTATTATCCTGTAGTCATCAGTACTGAGGGATCCATTCAATACGGACTCAGTGTTTGGATAATATACAGCTGTATCACCTGTTACTATAGCAATAGGAGGCTGATTGTTCTCTAATAGAGAGAGAGAGAGAGAGGGGGGGGGGAGAGAAAGAACGCAAAAAGAAAGAGAGATAGTAGGTATTCTTCTTATTATTGTCATTAATTGTTACCTTTCTGTACATCAACAGTTACAGTAGCACTATCAGACTGACCAGCAGCATCAGTTACTGTCAGTTCAAACTGATACACACCAACTTCAAGCTTACTCACATGAACTGTCTTATTCTTTATACCCTAACAATAAAGGAAATACAAACTTTATAAAAGATTGCTCTGTGTAAAATTATCAAACAGTACATAACACAAACAAGGACAAATGGGATTCAAAACAACTTAGATTATCATATTATTAACATACTTTCATTTCCACTTGATTTCCTTTCACCAGTTTCCATGAATACTTTACAATTCCTTTATCATCTTTGCTCCATCCTCCATCCAGTGTTACCTCATCATGAAGTA